CAGCAGATGTGGTGTCTGGTGAGGACCCTCTTGTCTGTGTTCTCCCACTTCCCTGTGGGCTCACGTGGCCTTTCCTTGGTACATGGGGGCAGGGGAGAGAAGGATCTTGTAGTCCTTCCTCTTCTTATCAGAACATTAATCCCATCACAGGGGCTCCACCCTCAGGACCTCATCTAAACCTGGTCACCTCCCAAAGCCCCCGCCTCCCAGTACCATTACACTGGGGGTGAGGGTTTCCACATAAATTTTGTAGAGACACAAACATTCCGTTCATGACACTTAGTTGATGGCTCTGAGCCAGGCTCCTGGCACCCTGTCCTCGGCCCAGAGCTAGAAGGCAGTGTGGGGAAGAGCTTCTATAAGGCGCAGGCCTGCAGTTCCACGTCATTTCTACTCCTGTGAGCCGGGCACACGGTCACACCTGAAGGCGAGGCGTCCTGGGCATGTGGACCTGGTGGGAGGCTGACCTCACTCTTCACTGTGGAGGGAAATATAAATGTTGCTGAGCAGGGAGCTGCCTCCAGGTGGAATTGCCACCCTTGGGAGATATTAAAGTGATAGGACTACAGGCCTTGGTGATCGATTAAGGGTGACAGAGAAGCAAAGCGAGAGGGAGGGTCACACACATCAGAATAAAGTCATTGGCCAGTGTCAGGCTCCTATTGGCCAGGCTGCACAGTATATAGTACCCCTCCCCTATTTTCTTTTCCCTCTAATCATCTTACACTTGGTTGTATGGATTTGCATTCTTCCTTTGCAAGAACTCATTTAGGAGGATATCCAGTCTTGCATAGACTGCCCTGCATAGTCTGTTGCATTAATAATAACTATTATCAGGGCTTCATAGAGAGACACCTTGTGTGAATTATCCCAGTTAGTGCTCGGAGGAGGCGGGCACTTTCATGGACCCCGTTTGCAGTTGTGAAGATGGGACTATGGGCAAGTGAAGTAAGTCGTCTAGGCCCAGCGGGGAGTGAGCGGGTGCTGTCTCCAGCTTCCACACACTCAACCTGCACAGAACATCGTGTGGCCGGGGAGTCTGTGTCCCCTTGGTGTTGACAGCCGAGGAGACTGAGGCCTGGGAGAGGCAGCTGATCAGCCAGGGATCTCCTCCCATTAATGGTGGCTAGTTTCATATGACCAGTCCTTCCTACCACCCTCTCCCACCCTCCCCTGCCTCAGCCCTCAGAGCAGGTGGACAGCCAAGAGGTCGCAGAGAGCCAGGGGTGCCCTGT